TTCACAGTCTAAGAAGGCTAACCTGCTACTTTTCATATCCTGCATGGTGAATTCAATATGTTGGTCCACCAAGTTAATGTCATCAACAAATTGTGGTACAACCTGAGATTTGATTTTCACCCAGATGTCATCTGTATATCTGAACCAATGACTTAGTAGTGGTGGTCCTGTTACTGAGGTTGGGATCATCCTGCAATCTCTTACGGACTACTGACACTGCTACAGTGACTGGAACACAAGTGAAGAGAGATGTAACATTGTACAAGACCATTGTTTCATCTCCCTCCATAATGACATCTCTTACCTTGTCAACAAAGTCCAAGGTGTTCTGGACTTGGTGTTCACAGCTGCCTACCAACGAGTTGAGGATCAAAGCCAGAAACTTTGAGATGTTATAGGTGACCGAGTTGATCATACAGACAATTGGTCGTAAAGGTACACCCTGATTATGTATCTTTGGTAAACCATACAGACTTGGTGTAGCTTCCTCTGGATATAGCCTGTGGTATGTGGTCCAGTCAATAGCTTTGTCTTGTTCTAACTGCTTCAGACAACCACTCTCTTCCTGTAACTACTTCCTGGGTCTCATTTCAGGGGCTCATAAGTATTTCTCATGATAGTCTTTCTGGTTTAGCAAAACTGTGCACCTACCCGTGTGAGTGCTTTCCTCTCCTTTATGCTCATGTTGGATGCTAAGGGCTCTGCATTGCTTAAAGTGGCCTTTGATGGTCTTTGATCAGTGGTTGTCAATCAATCGTCATGACAATTTGCATATTAATAATCATGAAACTGACCTCACAGCCTAATGTTAGTCAGTGGTGCTAGTTTCAGTCATTTTGCAAATGTGGTGTTTATAAGGTTGGGGAAACCTGCAGTCAGTTTCTCCCACTGAAAATGCTACATCCAAATGAACAGAATCAACTTTTTGGCAATCACATAAAGGATTATTTTAAACTGTGAATCAAAGATGGTCACTCATAGTGGACATAAATGCGACCATCTTTGAACAGAGTCCGTGGTTTACGACACCAACTGTCTGCCATCTATAATCCAGTTTTGAGATCCCTTCCCAGACGCCTTAATGCCCACTCACATCCTGGGCCATCTGACCTCAGGAAATCACATGATAGGGGGCGGATAGGTTTCACAAAGTTGTTGTTTCTGGCTACTGTCTTTCCCCCTCCTCAGAAAACTGTTATTAAATTAAGTAAATTGTGTACCAAATTGATTTGGGGGACAAACCACGAAGTAACGCAGAGGAAATTAATGTATAAAGGAAAAGAAAATGGAGGATTAAGAGCGCCAGATCTTAGCATTATTTTGATGATTCCTTTTCTAAAAAATGTATATAGCGCATTTGCGCGAAGCACCCACTGGATCCAAGGGAAGAAATCTTTGTGGAAAAAAATGAAAGGGAGAGCCCGAATGGGAGTGCCATACTTTAAACTTGTGTTTGGGGATCTTGTGGATCAGTGGAAATTGGATGGCTTAAATCTTTTACAATTAAACTCAAACCAAATATATAATAAAATCAATCTAAAAAAAATGAAGGTATGATACAATATAAGGCTGTGGAAAAAGAAGAAAATCAGAAAATAGTTAAAAACATATATGATAAAGTAATATCCGAGAACATGAGAGATACAGTGTGGCTTATCTCTGTCGGACGTCTCCCAGTAAGAGCTGTAGTTCTGTGGAGTTGCTTCGTTACTACTAAGAAATGCCCTATGGAGAATTGTGATGAAAACGAAACTCTTGATCATCTATTGATATCATGTTACAGGATGGTTGAAATAAGAAGGAGGATGGAAAAACTAGGTTTTAATATTGAAAATAATACAAAACCAGTAAGATATGGTTTGTTTAAAGAAAAGATGAGTGGGAGCTTTTATTATTGTAAAATGTAAAATAAGATGTGAATAATTTGTGCATGGTGCTTGTATTATGTGTATTTGTAATTGTGAATTTTGATATTTAAATAAAGTGATTTAAAAAAAAAAAAGATAGGTTTCACAATGAGCGCCCCCGAAAACTTGGTTGATTGTGACCTACAGCCGTCTTCCCACCTTGGCTCGTGTGATTAGGTAGAGGATCGTTAGGGGGTCCATTGTCCCTCTTGGTGGGTTACTCCCACAGAGCTTTAATCTGGGACTCTCCACCATTTGACCCTAGAACTGAAGAAGCTTCTCGGATGAGAGGCGAAACGTCTTCAAGCAACTTAAAGAAGTCCAGACGCTTTTCTTTCCAAGCTCCTTAGACCACAGTAAACTTTGTCTCGACCCACTAACTTTTCACTGAATCCTCTTCCTGCATATTCAGAGCTGAGATCCTGAGGATTACTGGTATTTTAAAGAAACTGAGGATGAAGCTATAAGAAGCGTTCACTCTGAATGGCAGAATGTTGTTATTGTTACGTAACACATGTCTGCAAAGGACAGTGGTCTCAGAGCCTATGTGATTGAAAGGCTATCTGCTTTGGTGGGATTCACACTGTGCTGTGCCGTCTCAGCTCTGTGAGTGTGAGGTTAGTGGGATGAGATTAAACTCTCCTTTCAAATCTCAGTTTAGCCTTTTATTTAAACCTGCAGTTTCCTTTCAGAGTGTATTCGTAGTGAAGACTTCACACGCTTCGAGTTCAGAACTGATGTGTTTATTTGGCAGCTGGGTGGGGGTGGGGGGTGTTGTCAATCGTGGTAACACCTCGTGACCCTCTTGGAGAGCATTTGCTGAGGGAAAGTGTAGGAGGAAGGTTTTCCTGCCTGCTGGATTTGGCTGCTGCATATGCTGCAGTGGATTACACTGATCCAACTTAATGCCTCAGACGTGCAATCATAACTACAGGAGCTGCTGAGGGCACAGCCGTGGACGCTCGCAGCACCATCTGCTGCCACTGCTGGTGGATTAACTTCGAGGAAGATGGTGTAAGGTGGGGGTGGAGGCATATGCAGACCCTGAGCTGTCGACCACCATGCAGAAGCCCTCTTACTCTCAGCTTCTTTCCTATCCACACAAACCCTCACACACTGGTTTATAATCTGTGGAGTAAAAAATGTGACAAAGTTCCATTTCTCCCTCCCGGTTTAAACATTCATGCACAATCAAGGACACACAGAAGATACAACACAAAGAGGAAACTAGCTCGCCACCAAGCTAACATTGTTAGCTGGCATTAGCTGAAGTTAGTTTATAGATTGCAGACTGTTAGACTTGATGGATAGCATTAAGTACCTGCTACCTGCAAATAATCATGCGCATTTAGGCGGTAACTGTAACGGAATACTCATATTTTGAATTTTAAATATATAACACTGGTACATGTATTCCGCAACTCCCCAACACTGACCATGAAGCAGGTTCAAAATACCCAGGATCTATTTTCCTTATCTGGATTCACTTAAACTAACTGCTAATCTGAAATCACATGCAGGGGGTTATCAATGTGATAAAACTAACCAGTGTGTATTCATCTATGTGTGTGTGTGTGTGTGTGTGTGTGTGTGTG